TGTAATTTCACAACAAGTGAAGTTATGGTATGAGTTTTTGGATATACAGTTTAATCCGTTTGTAATGTAAAATCATGTTTATTTTTGGATTTTATGATCTTTGGGCTTAGTTTGTCACAAAAACTTACTAAACCCCCTGTTGTGTAGGCCTATATGTAGGGTTCTCTAAAAATGAGTAAAAACATTCATTTTCTATTTTACTGTGTTTCTGTAATCTGAGTGATGGTAAAAATATGCGGATTCTGCCTTTATATTGCTTTTAAAACACAGAGTAAGGTAGGAATTCATTTCCCAGAATCCTCTGGTTTTTCGGGTTTTCCGATAGTCCTGTTAAAATAAATATTGTTCATATATTAACTCTGTAATTCATGTTTTATAATGTTTAAAAGTATTCTCTGGTCGATAAAAATTATAGAGGTTAGGTTTTGTGTGTTTTTAATAAAAAGACTAGAGTTTTCTCCAGGAGGAAGTATCCCAGACTCCACCGGGACAGTGAAGGAGCTGGCGGCACTTTCCTCATCGCCAGAGGCAGAGAGAGCTAAGTCAATGTTTGGAGACTTGAACTAAGTTCTTTCACTGGATAAAACTTCATGTGCACCAACTCTTCAAAGGGGCCCCAACGGTTAGGAAGATTAACCAAGCGCTTGGGTTAGACTTTTACTGGTACCATTATCAGTTATGTGAACTGTGAAAAATATTTTTGGGTACAGGTGTGAGTACTGGTTATTGTGTTTGAATACACAAAGCACTGTTTTGATATTTCTATGCATTTGGGTTCTGGAGTGAGCATTCCATAGGTGAATACCGTTAAAAGAGTTAAAATACAGGAAGGGTTTTGTTTATTTTTTTTTTTTATTTGTTTATTTCATTCTTGAAGCGTTCATTCATTTAAAGGTACAACTCCAAAGAACTAAAGAGAATGTTTAATAAATAAATGTTTGTGTTTTACCTTTACCTATGGTCGTTTAACATTCTTTTGGAGTAAACTGTATTTCTGAGGGCTTACGTATTTTGCTAGTGCTCACGTAGCATAGTAAGTTTTCAGTGGAGGCACCGCGCTAAATATCTTCCTCTTCTCATCCTATTGATAGAGTCCCTTTTATTTAAAGCAGTAGAGAAAAACCCCAGCAAATTCACCAACTTTAGCTGAGAACCTAGGACCTGTTTAATCTGTTTGAGTGTGACCTCAGTGTAAATTATAGACACTAAGGGAAAAAGGGGTTACATATATGTAAAACAGCAAGTTCTATTAAGGCAGCAGTGAACTTCGTGTTATCTGTGGATCATATCTATCTATCATCTGGATAGAGAGCTGGTGGGTATATCAAAAGTTTTATGGGTGGTAAATCATTTTATTGTAAAAAATAATGATTAATACAGAAGATTATTTACATAAAATAATATAAAACAACCCGACTAACAACAGTACTTTTCTGCAATTAGAAAATGGATTATTTGTAAAATAGCAGTTTGATAATATTTACAGGTGATTCTATTGTTTTTACAGGTGCATATAGCCTTCATTAAACATTGATTAATGAATTATTATTAATGATAATATAATAATATAATCAATGCATTCAAACATCTTATTATAAGAATCAAACAGCATCTTTTAATTATAGCTGCTGCACAGCAATGGTCGGGCCGGGCAATTTTAGGCAAAATTAGGCAATTCTGAGCAACAAGCAGAGTGTAGGAAGAGGTGGCATTGTAAGCATAAGAGATTATGCTCTATCTCACTGAGCTAATTAGCAAGAGACAACTCTGCGGTATATATGTTTAAAACTTATTCTAGCTCATTATAGGAATTCTACAGCTGCAATGATTAGTAGTTTGGGTAGATTTCTCAAATGGAAATGTTGCACGAGCTGAAGCTTGAACACACAATCTTCAACACCAAGAACCATCCTCTATCTCACTGAGCTAATTGGCAAACGGAAATGTCACATGTAGCTTCACAAATTGACTAAGCTGGTCACCGGTGTGCAAGACAGCAGCTGTTAGTGTATAAAGGCAGATTTGAAACCACTGTAAAAAATTCAGTTATTAAGACAAAAATCCAAAAATACACATATTGCATCTAGACAGCATGGAGATGTTGGTAATTTGTTTTTAACAATGATTTATTGGCTCCATAAGTGAAAAACTGATGTTTAAAAATGTCATTTTTGCATTGACTCCAATTGTTCGCATGAGAGCAAAATTCAAAATGCTGTATAAAAAAAAAAAAAAAAAAATCAGTTTTTGAGATAAAATTCTTACATTTTCCAAACATCATCTACCATGACTCCAAAATTTTGTCATTTTTTTAATGAATATTGAAAATGTATTTAGCAAGAATTTGCAAGTATATGTTTACAGTACCGTTTACAGTCAAACATTTTGATGCACTGTAGGCTCAATTTTCGATAAATCAAAAATCTGTCTGGATCGTTTGTGGAGGACAGTCTGAAGATGCTCTGTAGCAAGTTTGGTGTCAATTGAGCAAAAATTGTGGGAGGAGATAGTTTTAATAGGTTTTACAGTTTTTGAAAAAAAAAACAGAGTGATGGACTTCATAATTTGCAATAGGTTTAAATGTACAACAGTTTCTTCAGTATTGGGGCTACATTTTGGTGAAAGTAGCAAATCTGTAGCACATATGGTTGATTTGTTGTGAATTTTCACTGAACTTTAGAGGCTTGCTGTAGCGCCACCATCAGGACTATTGGCCTGTTTTTGCAGCTAAGGCAATCTAGCATGGGACTGGACCTTTGTGCAAAGTTTGGTGATTTTTTGTGCATGGGAAGTATGATTTGCTCAGAAGAAGAAGAAGAAAGAAGACGATGCAGGATAACAATAGGGTCCTGGCAGCTTAGGCTGCCAGGACCCTAACTACGCTGTTTATCTGCTTTATTGAAAAGATGTGACCCTATTTGTCTGGTTTGGCTTAAAACGAAGGTATATGGAGATATCAAGATTTCTTGTGTATAAACAGAATTTATAAGCAACATGTTTTTACGAAAAAAAGTATATAATATATGTGCTTTGGTAATGATATCAAACATACAAACAAAAATAAAAAAAAAACTGGCTGTGACAAACGCTGATTATTATTATTATTATTATTATTATTATTATTATTATTATTATTATTATCATCAAAAAGTAAACAAGCTTCATCTCACCTCTTTCACCTTGTGGGCCTGCAGCTGTGGGTCCATGACCTGCAATCTGAACTGGATCACGTCTGAAATACAGTAAAAAGACAGCTTTTTTTTTAGCAGTTTCCTTTGCAGAGAATTGCTAACAATTCAAAAGGAAAACTTGATTTGGAGTTGCTCAGCAGATGAGCTTTTAGACTAGATAAAGGGGAAAGATCAAAACTCACATATTGGGACGATGTGCACAGTCAGGAAGTCGTACTGGGATAATGTTAGTGGGGTGAGATAGTCTCACCAGCATGATGTCATGAGGTCTTTCCAGGTCGTCCCTAAAGATCTCATGTGTTGTGATCTGCACTTCTGTTTCTGGACCTGGGTGCGCACCTAAAAATACTGTCATAGAGCTGTAAATAAGCAGAGGTTAAAGAGCAACATCACTGAATTACGAGATGCATCATGATGTATTAGTATAGGTCAGTATTACTAAACATGAACAAAAGCATTGCTATCTTCATTTTGGGAATGCTGTAGTTTCACAGCAAATCCTTGCTAATTGCTGCTTCAGGACTTTGTGTGTGTGTTCATAAGTGAGAAATATATTGTTACTAGTTTTTTAGTAAAATTGCCATAGACTCACTCCTGTAAGCAGTGAGCTGCAGTCAGAAACCACTGGTTACTGATTAGAGATCCACCACAGAGTATATCATCAGCGTCATCAGTTATTTTGACATGGTACAGACGTTCACTGTGAGGACACTCACGACCTCCAATGATTCTCTTATGCAGATCCATCGCTGTGCTTACTGTGACACCTGAAACACAAAAGTGCCCCTGTAAGTCAGAACACTGGTTGTTCAGAACAGCTTCTTCACTCTCAGTTAATCTAAAAGGCAAACTTTGCAAAAAGTTGTGTGAGCGTTTGTATGGAGGCCAAAAAGAGCTTCTGTCCCCTAACAGTCACACTTTATCCCTCAGAATACAACAACCTAGAACAGCATTAACATCAGGTGGCATTACAGTATCTATCACTATTGCCTTTTAATTGTTTTTTTCTTTATTTATTTACCTTACAGCAAAATTCCATTTGAACAAAAAGAAGAGCACTTGCATGAATTCCTCTGTGGGGTGAGGTCATGTAAGGTAAACGGTTTCAATACAAAGTTGTGTGAGGGTGTCACAGGACAGGCAGGTCAATAGAGTCACAAAAGAGTGAGGTTAAAGAACTATTTAGCCACTGCAAAGATGTTTTTTTCATAAAACTGGGCCATCCTGGCAGTAGAAAGATGCAAACACCTTTGAAACAGAGGAAAAGCACTGTGGCATTCGATTTTGCTTCAGAGGTAGAAAACCTACAAATCCCAGAATGCACAGCGCTGCACCCAGCTAATAAAAGAAGCCGCTGGTAGGTGACGTAATGCAAACTTGTCCGTTTGACACAAGTTTAACACATTTCATACACATACTATCCATATTGTTATGACACAAAGCTGGTTGGACATCAGCAGAGTATCCCTTTAATCTTGCATGAATTGCCTGTTCAGAACTGTTCAGTAAAATACCCTTTAATATGTCTACATCTAACAGCTGATCCTGTACAAGTGCCTCTCTTGGATTCCACTTGCTCCTGCTGAGACCGCTGGTGCTGTACTCTGCACTGTTATATCCCTCCACTTTGACAGCATTGTCTTCAGCCTTGCTTTTGCATATTTATACTCCTCTGTTAAACTGATAACAAAGGGCTCCAAAATCCCTTTTCCATATACTGCTGAGGTAGTGTGGGGCTCCCAGACACTTTCTGATGTGAGAGCTAATCATTCGCTATAGCTTCTCTACCTCTGAGCACACAATATGATGGCCACAACATCTGGTGCAACACACCAAACTGCAGGCACCACCGTTTGAGTTTGCTTGAAGTAAAGGGCCTGACATCTTTATGCTCTTAATGCCATCCACCATCTGCTGTCTCAACCCCTGGATCTGCTCCATATCACTCAGAGCTGCATCACACCACCTACCAAAACTTCTAACTGGCTTCTCTAGAAAAGACAAGAGCCATTCAGAAAAGAGAGAAGGTCCACAACTGAGGCCACTTCACACCTCCAACTGATCTAGAGTTCAGCTGTCAGGATATGAATGAACATCAGAGGAAGAGACCACACTGGCTCATCACACTGGCTTCCTCTACATTTTGGAAT